ACTTGTGTTTTATAAAGTTAAGAAGTAATGGAGGAAGGCCCTGGAAAAAAAAAAAGCACACTGCACAACCAGCTTCTGTCTGGACACCCTGTTTGATAGCTTTTACCAAATAAAAAAATTATAACTTTGTCTTTTCCCCTTCATTGTCTTCAGATTCCTAAAAACCAAAGGGAAAAAACAATGGCAAAAAAAACTTAAGCTTTTTTTATCCAGTGAATAATAAGACATGTTGGAGGGAGGGGGAAAGGAGGTTTTAGTGGGCGAGGGGGTTGGACTTTCCCGCAGGGGAGCTGGGGGGTTTTGATAGGGGGAAGGAGACAAAGGGTTTTTTACTTGCATGCTGTTGGAGTGTACAAAGTAACATTATGAAGGGGTTCAGGGAAACCGGGAGGTCACTTTAGTCCGAGATGGGAATACAGTGCCCCCTCGAAGAGGGGTGTTAAATGTTGCAGTTTAAAAACTGTAGTGTAAGCCCCTTTGGCAAAACAGTGATGGAGAATGATGGGGAAAGTTTTTTTTTTTTCGGGGCCACCCGCCTTGGGGAAATCGGGCCCGCGTGATAAAAAAAATAAAAAAAAAATTAAGTCTTCAAATACAAATAGTATACTGGGGGCCTTTTTGTATTGTGTATAAAAATGATATACACAATACAGAAGATCCGAATTTTCCTAAAGTTGAGGACTTACTGTGATGCGAGTTAAAACAAGAGGTATTTTTTAAAAAAAAAAACAAACATTACCTTTCTTTTTTAATTGAGCAAAAAGTAGCCAAAACCTTGCTGTCAGGGGTTTCAAAAATAAACTTAAAAATTTCCCCACATCTTCACGGTCCCAGACACTATATCCCACCTGCAAGACAGGGGCATTTCATAAAACTTGCATAAGAATTTTAAATAAAAGGGTATAGAACACACCTGAATCTACAGGGGAATCACAATTATTCTTTTGTCTGGACAAAATTTTGTGGGTTCCCTTTTAAAATTTGGGCCCCAGTGTTTTTTCTGATGAACCCAGGAAAAATAAATTTTTCCTTTTTTTTTAATAATGACACACATAAACAATTAAATTTTGCAACATTTTAATAAGAACAACTCACAAACTGATTAAATTATCCAAGGGTTTTAATCGTCCAGCCAGGCTAAGATACATTACAATGGTATAATAAAGATAAATAAAGAAAATTATTAGCAGTGAGTGTGTCCTTACTTCTGGAGAACTCTCAGCTGGTCACGTAAACTCTTTGCTTCTTCCTTAGCTTTCTGCGCTTCTTTAGTGATACGATCCATAAATTGTAGCTGCGTCTTAAGAGCCAATATCGTTGTCTCTTTCACATGTACTTGACTTTCAACACTCTTATATTCTTCTCTATAAAAGAAAAACAGAGTATTCAGATGATGATGTACAGTAGGACCCCCGCATCTGTGGGTCCAGTATCCCTGGTTTCAGCTACCCACGGTTTACCGTGGCCCGAAAATTACCCTTAATTTTGCTTAATAATGATCTCCAAGTGCAAAAGCAATGATGGTAAGAGTTCTTCAAAGCCTAAGAGAAGCTGAGAAGTGCTTCCCATCAGTGAAAAAGTGATAATTCTCCACTTATTGTGCATAATTTATCAATTAAACTTTATTATAGGACTGATATATATAGGGTTTGCTACTATCTACAGTTTTGGTATCCTACTGTATACAATTTTTTTATTGACACATCGGCCATTTCCCACCAAGGGAGGGTAACCCCAAAACGAAGAAACTCTCTTATCATCACTCACTCCATCACTGTCTTACCAGAGGCACACCTACACTAGTTAAAAAAATTAATATTAATATTTTTAATACACCGGCCATGTCCTGCAAGGGAGGGAGACTCCACTTCCCCCCTCCCCCCTAAAAAAAAGGAAAAATTTCATCATCATTCACGGTTCTGGAAAGAGTTATTAGATGAATGATGGTGAATGTATTTCATCGTTTTTGGGGTTACCCTCCCTTAGTGGAAAATGGTCAGTTTCTTAAAAAAAAAAAAAAAAAAAAAAAAAAAAAAAAAAAAAAAAAAATCGATACTTTTGTGTTCAGGTTACAATGAACCACTAGTTATAACAACCACCCCCCAGAAATGTCTCTACAGGAGGCCCCCACTTTACAGCACTACGTTTTACAGTGTTTCGCTAATACAGCAGTTTTCAATTATACCCATTCTTCATTTATCCAGACTTCCTACAATAAATATATTCACCATTCACTATAAGCTAAGGTTGAAAATATTTTAAGATAAGTAATGTGTTTTCTGTATATACATTTTTTAGGCCTAGCTTTACTGCTCACTTAATGTATGATAGTGCAAACATGTTATCAGGCTTTATATGCATTTGAAAGTGAAAAAAGCCATGTTTCACTTTACAGCAGTAACCTGGAACCTAACCTGCTGCATAAGCAGAGCCCTCCTGTATACAGAAAATCTATTTCTAAAAGAAATTCGCTAAAGGCTATTAAAATGCGCTCTTATGCTTTCAAATTGAGTGGTCAATTATTATGCAGAATTAAGTGTTGTTGGCTTGAATAAGCTTCACATAGCTACCCTGGGCTTGCCAATAAAATGTAACATACCCCACACAATGGCCAATGAAATTTTCCATTCTTATAAAAGTCCAGACCCGCCAACATCGTCCCGATAAAAAATTTCATTCCAGGGAGTATTAATGCGGGTGCCACGTACATACTGAATTTTTTTACCAAGAATATCTGTGAAATGTTAGGGTTATGCCCAATTCAGACCCAACTTTTTACTGGGTAAAAACTATCATAAAAATAATTAATATGGGCATCGCTAGTTGGGAGATCTAAATCTGTAAAGCGGGGCCCCGCACTTTTCAATTTCGTAAATGATTTATCCAAGAATAAATAACCTCCGATAGCTACCATTATGTTGAGGGGTTTTTATGTATATGTACTGTACTATATTTTTGGTCTGAGTAAATCACTTCCCAAAATATTAATAAAATATTTGATGGCATAACTTTATTTCGTTAGTGAATAATAATATGTTAACCGGGGTTCGACTGTATATTTGATTTTCTGTTAACTGGGGGTTATCCCACTGAGGCAGGGTGACCAAAAAAAAAAAATTAAAGTTTTTCTTCTTAAATTTAGTAATTTATACAGAAGGGGTTACTAGCCCTTTGCTCCCAGCATTTTAGTCGCCTCTTACGACACGCATGGCTTACAGAGGAAGAATTCAGTTCCACTTCCCTATGAAGACTATTTGAATTATATGTAAATTTTGCACACAATTTGAAGAATTTTAGGAGTAAACTAGCACTGATTAATTCCCCACTAAATCAAAAGTCACACAATTCGAACTTGTTCTAATCAAGACCTAGCCGTAGTTATCAATAATATATTTTTATCAATGTTAAAACACTATCTTAGGTAGAATAATTATGTCTGATGGGAATACTTACCTAAGACTTTTGTTTTGTTTTGTTAATTTGGAACTGTTGTCTTCCAAAGTCTTTATTTCCTGCTCCTTAAGCTTAACCTGGAACTATAAATAAAAGTAGTTAGTTGTAACTATGACAGCAACAAATAAGATAACTGTTTGCTGCAATAATAACTAACAGATAATTCTATGGCTGTAGATGAATGGTTCAGAGGAACTGACAAGTTGATAAATCGGACACATGTGCAACACTTGGGTATCTTCATTGAGGAAACGTTTCGCCACACAGTGGCTTCATCAGTCCATACAAAGGAGAGCGTTGAAGAACAGGAGGAGCTTGAGGTAATCAGTCCCTCAGCCTTGAGTTGATGTGGTCAGTCCATCAGTCTTGAAAAGAATACAGCATATGTGTGTAGAAGTAGCTCATATATCATAGGCAGGAGAGGTGCAGCAGTCTAGGTGGTATCACTTACGACTGCTGCACCTCTCCTGCCTATGGTATATAAGCTACTTCCACACACATATACTGTATTATTTTCAAGGCTGATGGACTGACCACATCAACTCAAGGCTGAGGGACTGATTACCTCAAACTCCTCCTATTCTTCAAGCTTCCTTTGTATGGAAT